ATGGAAGGGGCGTTTCAGGCAAGAGCTGGGGAGTAGGGAAACGGTGACTTTGTGAAGCAGAGTACCTAGGAAGGAGGGGCGCCTTAGCGCTTGGTCGGAGAAAGGCTCTCTGAGGCAGCAACAGTGCAGGGTGAGGCAGGATGATTAGAGCGAAGTTGGGCACACACAGATGGGGAAATCGGGATGTGGGGAGCTGTCCGAGCAGAGGGAAAAGCAAATGCAGAATCATTTGCGAGGGGTGTGTGAGAGAGTTTTTCATGTACACAAAAATATCATGCAGGACAGTGAGGATAAGTTTAGTCCCTGAGGACGGGAGCAAAGCAGGCGATGAGACAGAGAGCTGGCGTGGGACCAGGCCGCCCAGTGCCTTGGGAACCCAGGAAAGGAACTTGGATTTTGTTCCTGAAGGTGGAAGAAAGCCATCTCCTCTTCCAGGCTTGAACCTTCCTGATGGTGGGACACTCATATGATTCTGGGTACACCTGAGTATTTTATTTCTAGTAAGTGTTGCAGAGATGTTATCATTAACCATAACAGCAACCACTTATTGTGTATTGTGGGAGAGCCCTTCCACATACCCTAGCGATATCACCCCCAAATCTTCACAAAACCCTGAAAGACACTATCACCTCATTTCATAGACACATGAAGGTGAGACTCAGATAGGGTAGGTGACTCGCAGAGCCCACAGTGAGGGCAGAGCTCCAGCCTGGGCCAGCCCCAGCCCAGAGTGAGGCAGCTAATAATCCCAGGTCATTCCTGAGCCCCGGCTGCTCCCCTCGGACAAGTGCTGCTCCCTCTGCCCCCGGCTCTCGCCTCTGCGTGCAGTTCTCGGCGTAATTATGCATATAATGAATACTTATGTTGAGCAAGATAATGCTATTTTTCTAAAAGGAATAATGAATATATGGAATAAGTTGTTGAACAAAGAGAATCTACTGGGGCATGTGAAATTAAAATGTTGCCGGAAGGTCAAAATTAATTTTGGAAACATTGGTGGAACAGAGAGTTTAACAAAGAGAAAATTGAGAAAATAAAAACTGCATGAGCTCAATGAATAAAAAGGGCAAAACATCTATCCAGAGGTCTTTTGCCTTTGCTGGAATTCATTAACTTTTATTTTGGTTTCAACTCTTTGAACAAGTTCTGCCTGGAGGAATTCCTTAATTTGGACTTAATGCGGTCTATGGAGGCAGAGTGAGGCTCGCAGGGGCTCCGAGGCTGAGCAGATGCTGGGGAGAGGCCAAGACCACCCAAGGGCGTCCGGAATCGATGGGCTGCTGGGGGCAGAGCGAGGGGGAAGGGCTTTTGATGTTGGACAGTGTGATGATGACTGCCCTGAGCCAGAATCAATCTTTTCTGCAAAGACAGATGCTCTCAAAGAACACAGCACCCAGAGAGTTTAATGCTACTCTAGTTTGCCTTTGTCTCCTGGTGTTTGACAAAGTCCCTCCATCACCATTTTGTAAACTGCAGAATCAAGATTCGGCTTTCAGGTTTTCAAGTGTTATTTTGACCTCTCCTATCACCATTTAATAGTATTTAAGGTTAATAGATATGTTACTTAGCTTGATTCAGTCATTCCACGTTGTATACATATATTATATTTCTTTGTATCCCATAAATATATACAATTATAATTTGTCAATATCCAATTAAAATTCTTCTAAAATTAAAAACATTGTTAACATAAAAATTATAAAGTTCCCATATTTTTCCATACACAAACATGTTCTTTAAATTAAATTTATCCAAAAAAGGACAAAGAAGCAAAACCCTGTCATAAAATACCACATAAGCACATTATTTTGTAGCACATTACATTTCTTTTAGTATTTTATTATATATACACAGTTCATTGACCTGCATAAGAATTCTTTTTGGTTCTCTTTATTTTTTTAATTTGCGGAAATTCTCATTATCTACATTATAACAGGATTTTCCAGTATAACATAGTGATTAAAAATACCTTTTCTGAAGCCAAGTAGTTTAACTTTGAATGGTGGTTCCACTATTTCTTAGCAATATCACTCCGGGCAAACGGAGATAATAATAGCTCCCAGATAGTAAGTGCTTCATGAATAAACTCTCTCACAATAATAATCAGAAATCATTGTGATTATTTACAAAACATGTTCATATAAATTCTCTTATGTTTAAGGATTCTAATACAGAAAAATAAAGTTCCTCTTGAAACCTCTTGAAAAATATCATTATCTGAATTTGAATGGCAACATTTTTTTTTCCACCATATAGGTAGAACGTGCTACCAGTTCTCAACATTCTGTGCACACCAACCCCAGGGCTTCCACTGAATACAACTGCAACTTTTAAGCGAGGCCTCTAAAACATGCACATTCTGTCCCAGATGCGCTGTCAGTGATGAGGAGCTAATGCTCTTGAGGGCAGCCCTGAACCAATGCCGGAGTTGGAGGACAAATGAATCCCTAGCTTCTTGGCCGCTGGGATGGAGCAACTCTGTAGCATGCTTTGTCTAATCTCCAAGAGGGCTCCAGGAGGAGTGAGCCCAGCTGCCCACTGAGCAGTTTCTTCTAAGTTTAAACACATACATACCGTATGTGCTGGCAATACTAGTCCTAGTGATTTACTCACAAGAAAAAAAAAAAAATTATGTCCACATGAATGTTGACAGCAGCTTTTCATAATCACCCCAAACTGGAAACAACCTAACTGTCCTTCAACTGGTGAATGGAAAAATGCGGTAGTGCATCCTTACAATGGACTACTACTCAGTAATTAAGAAAACAAAAGAACTATGGCCGGGCATGGTGGCTCACGCTTGTAATCCTAGCACTTTGGAAGGCTGGGGCAGAGGAAATACTTGAAGTCGGGAGTTCGAGACCAGCCTGGGCAACATAGTGAGATCTCATCTCTACAAAATTAAAAAAAATTAGCCATGCATGGTGGCACACACCTGTAGTACCAGCTACTAGGGAGCCTGAGCTAGAAGGATATATTGAGCATGGTAGTTGGAGGCTACAGTAAGCTGTGATTATGCCACTGTACTCTAACCTGGGCAACAGAAAGAGAACTTGTCTCATCATAAAAAAAAAAAAGAAAAAAGAAAAAGAAGAAGAAGAAGAAAAACTATGATTCATGCAACAACATGGTTCAATCTCAAATGCATATGTTAAGTGAAGAAGCCAGCCTCAAGATTTATGTAACAAATTTGGAAAAGCCAAAACTATAGAGACAGAGAATAGGTCAGTGGTTTCCAGGGACTGGAGAATCAAAGATAAAGAGGAAGAAGGAGGGAAACTGGGGGATTATGAGAGTATATTACATCTTCATTGTGGCTGTGGTTCCAGGACTGTGGGCATAGAACTGTACGCTGAAAGGGTTGAATTTCACCCTATTTAAGGTAACCTCAATGAATCTGATATATTATTGGGATAAAAAGATAGCCTATTTATCAACCATTTTTAGTGGGTTTTTTATCTGTCTCACTTCTTTGCTCTTCATATTGTGATTCTTGCAATCACTTTTCCAATAAATGACTTGCACAAATTCTTGTTTCAGGGTCTATTTCTGGGGGAATCCAATCTAAGATGAACATTATTGATGCTTAACATATTTTTCCATTTTATAACACTCTTTGGAACATAAATTATGATGACCACAGAGTATTCAATTGAGAGGAATATCATAACTTAATTTACTAATCCCCTGAGGTCAGCATTATGCTGTTTCCCAATTTCCACATTAAAAAATATTGCCAAAATGAATGAATATCTTTGTTTAAAATCCAATATAATTTCCATAGTTAGATTCTCAAACAAGGAATTTCTAGGGTCAAAAAATATAAACTCTTAAATATCTCTTGAGTACATATTATCAAACTTACTTCCAATAAGTTTTCATTATTCACCATTGCCATGGGCCAAGTAGAATTCTTGAGTACATATTATCAAACTTATTTCCAATAAGTTTTCACTATTCACCATTGCCATGGGCCAAGTAGAATTCTCCAATTCTTCACATTGCTATTTTCACAAAGTTCTCATTTTGCTTAACCTGCGCTCATTTCAAAGAATAAATTCATTTCCTGCTACCAATTTTAATATGGGAGGCAGAATAACATGGTGGTTAAGAGCCTTAACTTGGGAGCCAATTAGTTATATCTTAGCACTGTGTAAGTTTTGCCATTTATTTAATTTGACATAGGACCCCTCTAGCAAAGACTTACTGGAAAGTTGCCAGTTATATGTTATTACTTATTGCCAGAAGTTATCACTTCCTCTTCTGTACTTCCACAGCACAATGTCTAAGCTGCTGGGTACCATTTATAACACACAGCCTACTAGAGAGGATAACAATCATGTCTATTGATACATTACAGGCTCCTTGCATAATCAATGCCTAGAACAGAGTACAAATTGAACATGTATTTAAGAAAATGGAAACACCCAGGCGAATCTTGGTCAGGAATAAAGATAATTAGAGTGGTGTCACTAAAAACAAAGAATTTATTGATTACCTACTACCTACCAAACTTTTTACATAAACATTATTCGGTCATGATAAGAGTCTTACCAGTCAAGAATCACGAGCTTAATTTATGGATGTAGGGGTTTGAATAGTGTTCCTCCAAAACACATGTAGACTCAGGACCTGAGAATGCGAGCTTACTTGGAAATAGGGCTTTGCAGATGTAATTGCTATAGTTAACTACCTAAAGATGAAATCATCCTGGATTTAGGGCGGCCCCACAGTCCAGTGAATGATGTCCTCACAAAAAGAGGAGCAGACACAAGACACAGGGGAGGAGGATGAAGGTGAGGCAGAGATTAGAATGATGCTGCCACGAGCTAAGGACTATCAAGAACTATCTGCAGGTGAAAGGAGCAAGGAAGGATTCTTCGCTAGAGCCTCTGGAGGGAGCATGGCCCTGCTGACACCTTGGCTTTGGACTCAGCCTCAAAAACCACGAGACAATAAATAAATTCCTTTTATTTAAAGCTACCAAGTTTGTGGTCACTTCTATGGCAACCCTAGGAAACTAATACAACAGGTATGGAAACTGATCTGAGCCTTTCGATTCACTTCTCCGTGCTTCAGTTTTCATACTGGCGTGTGACAGAGCTGGGGTTTTCCTAGCTTTCCAGGACATGTGCCACGTCTTGTGCAAACCCGCCCGGGCTGCAGGGGTGGACAGCAGAAGTCTTCCAGCACGAGCAGAGAATGGGGGTCAACATCAGTGAAATGATGACTTTAAAATACAGTCCAAACTAGTTTGTCCTTCCTTCGTTTTAGCAACAATTTATGTTAAATATTCTCAGGCCCAAGTTAAAAAATGTGCTCCTTTTACAATGACACCATTGTGAAAAACAACACAATCAGTTGGCCTTGCAACTCTTGTGTTCATGGCCTCATAAAAGCACCACCACATTCACCAGCCAACCGGTCACCTCTCTCTCCTTGTGGATCCCACTTTATAAGAGCAGCACATGCCCTGGGTATATTAACACCTCCTGCCTCTCCCCGTCGGAAATGTCAGGTAAGCAGGGCCTGTTTTCCAAAGCCTCAGTTCCAAAATAAGAGGGCACTGCTTTCCCCATATGTGAGAGAGATATTGCTAAACATATGAAGGACTTATAATTTAAAGGAATTTGAAATTATTTAAGAATGACTTCTTCCATTTCAACTAATGGAATGACCACCTGGTTATTTTTCTCCCCACAGAGTATGGCCTGTACAGGGAGAGTGGAAAAAACTTTAAAGTGTGACCTACACATTTCCATTATGAAAGAAAGGTTTGGTTTGGTACAATTTGGGTTTTCAGATGTCATTTTCTACAGAATTGTCATGAAATGTTTGACTCATGGTCTATAGATTGTACTTTGTTCTGAACATGGATCCTATAGTTTCAATTTCTCAGCATTGTCCAGAGGTTACTAAATTATCTTATTCTATTACTTTTTCTCTCTCTTTCCTTCCAGTAGGGGATGAAGCAGTCAGGAAGGAAGGTCAGTGAGATGCTTCCATGGGTGAGTCCTCTAACATGATGTCCAAAACAAGAATAATTGGAGGATGTCTGAAGATGAAGAGAAAAACAGAAGCAAACTTCAATAATGAAAAAAATACTAATTTGGTATGATACTCGAATAACACCCTTATGTAGAGGCTAATTAAGCTAATTTTACCACTTCCTTTTTACCAAGAAAGTGAGAACAACTTGTTTAGAATATGGAATCTGCTAGTGACTGAGGTGTTGGATACACCATTGGCCTATGCATTCGCTGCATGAAGGAAGAGACGGAATGAAGGAGAGAGAAGACCACTGGAGTGGGCTTAGTAGGGGATGGACAGCATGAAGATAAACCTCTTTCGGAACTACTTTGAATTTAAACCAGAGAAATAAAGCAGTAGCCAAATAGGAAAGAGGGGGAAAAAAGAGTTGTTTCTTTCTTTCTTTTCTCTTCCTGTTATTTTTTTTTTTCATTTTAAATATTGAAGGTATCAGAACATGACTTGTGCTAATGGAAATTTTCTAACAGAAATAGAGATGCTTATGGTTCAGAAGAAAGAGGACAGCCAAATAGAGCAAAAAGGAATGAGACACAAGTCCTAGGTGAGGGGGGCTGGCCTTTGACAGGGGAAGAAAAAGTTTCTATTTTGTAACAGGGGTTAAGAAAGTAAGGCTGAGGAAAATTGAGACTTTTGGGTGGTAACAGGAAAATGAGGGATTTTGTGTGTGCTGATTTCTCTCTCTCTTGGTGGCATATGAGTAACATGGTGTTGCCCATATACTATTGAGCGTAGGTAGGAGGAATGGTATGGCAGTTTTGTGAAGACAGCTGTTATACAATATTTATTCTTGGGAGTAAGAAATGATCCTTCTAGAAAAACACAGATGATGCCCTGATAACACTGAGTGCCAGTTTAGGCTTACATCACAGTTTTAAAGTAAAGCTACTCAGATGGCTGTCCGCTTCTCCCCACCAGCACAGCGATTCGCTGCGGGCTCCATCCTGAATTTTGACTGCAGCGGGAGTGATACTGTCATCAGAAATACCTTTAGCTCAAAAATAGCAATGAACTAAGCTTGCAAGTATTTTAATGCACTAAGTCAATTAATAACATGAGTCGGTAGCTGTTGTTGTTCTCATTTAACTGATGTGGAACCAAATGCTTAGAGGTATCAAGTGACTTACTCAAGCTCTTACAGCTTGGAAGTGGGATAGTCAAGATGTGCAACCATATGCTGCCCTTGACCTCATTGTTTTAACAACTACATATAAAAGTCGGAAACACAAAGGTTAGAACTCAAGAGATAAGGAGAGAGAGTCAGTGAGACAGCAATGTAATAACCCCAGAGGGAGGTGTGTGTCCCAAATGTACTCTAGGAAAAAGAGGCTGTGAGGGAACTTACTGGGTTCCTTCCTGGCCCAACCTACTCCCAGCACTCAGAGCCAGAGAGTTCCTTACAACCTGACACCCTTTTTGTTTGATACCTGTTTCTTTCCTGCAAAAACGAAAAGGACTGCTTCTACATAAGCTGCCTGCCCCTCCTGGTCAGGCACCAGGGGCTCCGCCAACTTTCTCTCCTTGACAATCTGCCTCTTTCATTTTCTCTTTATTTAAACCAAGCATAAATCAAGGTCCTTTGCTTTTATGTAACCAATAAAAAAAGAACTAAATGCTCTCAACAATCGGAGCCAAGTGCACAAGTGGAGAGTGACATGTTTACATCGTGTCAGAGATGAAAAAGGGATGTTTTCTCCTCTCCAAACACATCACTTCTTACAAATACAGCTTGGAGAGTGTTTTGTTTACTGAAACTATGCCTTTAGCTCATTTTTTGTTAATAGGCCCAATGCCAGCATTATAAGAAATGTCTGTTACAAGAAAAAAAATCATTTTCCATATTTGGGGACTCTGAAGACAATCCATTTAAACATCATGTTACCTTCATACAGTTAAAACTGTGTTAAATGGAAATTTAGAGCTATTAACAATACACATTGAATTGATCTTATTTTAATTAGAAGGAGAATATTGGCCTTGGGTCTACCATGACCTAACTGTAGGTACTTAGGTAGTTTACTAAAATGTACTCTAAAATTGCATCAGTTCACTTACCTATTTTCTGGGTTTAACAATATCCAACATAGTCTATATTCCAACTCAGAGCAAAAAGACTCCTAAGTGTGGTATAACACAAAGAAGCTTCGATGGCTTTTGTTTGTGGGTTTTAGTCCCATTTTTGCCCTTTAGTTGTGAGGCTATGGGACATTAATTTTGTCCTATCTCACACTCAGTTTTTTGATCTATAAACTGAGGGCAAACAAAACTTAATTTCCATGTTTTTAATAAATAAATAATATTTGTAAAAGGACATACCAAGAGACCCGGATACAATGAGGACACCTAGCTGTTATTAATTGTCCTTTTCTTCCTTACCATAGCTTTTTATAGCTCTGTATGTGGGTTGATTAAAACAATAAGTTTTACAAATATTTGGTAATTTAAAATAGTAATGTAAGTGTAAAATTTGTTGATGAAGAATGATAATTTATAGGTGAAGTATCACCTATCAATCTTGTCCATCACGGAAGTTTGGCTTCAGTCGTATGCTACATTTGAATAAAATAACACAGCTGCAGTAATTGCCGTAAGCTCACAGAACTGTTGAACCAGAAGAGTGTCAAGTTTGTATAGAAAATACCTGACATTTCCAAGCTAACAAAATGGAGGCACAAACCATTAAAATGGACTTGACCACATAGGTCATGCTAGAGCACTGCAAAAATGACATACTTGCTGAAGGGATGCCTTGCAAATGATCTGTAAATATATCTTTGACTTTACAAACAAAGGGTTAAGGATTCCTAAAATAACATAATTCCAAATACAGAATGAGGGTGGAAGTCTAGACCAAGCCCACACTGCAGGTTCTCTGTCAGAGAGGGTGCATGACACACAGACAGTTGAGTGAGGGGCTCAGTGCCAGCCTTCTGCAGTGGCCATCATCATGGGTTCCCAAAGGGACTGAGCCTAGCTGGTAGCTGTCGGAGGGCTGCTTAGGATGCTGTCCAAACCACTGCACTGATCTGAGCTAACATGGATTTAGTGCAGGCAAGAAGGGCAAGGGAATTTGGAGCCTGGGTCTTCTCCCCATGTCTTCCTTATCCTGCATGCATATGTGCCTAGGGCCATCCTACCAGTCGCAGACCAAAATAGTTATCTTTGTGTGTAGTTGCCCAAACTAGACAGGTGTGACTATTTACCCTCTAATTCCTCACAGTCTTCATATCCAGTCATACCTATCCACAACTATTGGTCATACCTCCTATCTTCATTAAATTTTGTGTATTTACAACATTTACTGAAGTAGTATTGTGTGCTAGATACACTACTGGGTACTGGAAAAGTGGGGTATAGTTATTCATAAACAAGGCCGAGCCATCACCTTTAAGGAATTTAGTCTAGTATACTATAATATGATGGTAAGGATATGCATGTATGCATGTGTCTGATATATTTTATATATATATATATGTTATATATGAAACATAATATATAAGACAAATAATTTTATATATATATATATATATATATGAAATAAACAAAGATCACTTGTAGGGGTTGAATTGTGCTCTCCCTCAATTCATATGTTGAAATTCAAACCCAAGTACCACAAAAAGTGACCTTCTTTGACAATAGGGTTGTCACAAATGTAGTTAATTTAACTAAGGTCATACTGGAGTAGTGTGGGCCCTAATCCAATATAACTGGTACCCTTAATAAAAACAGGAAATTTGGACACAGACGTGCACAGAGGGAGAACACCTCACAAATATGACATTATAAATCTATAAGCCAAGAAACACCAAAAATTGCAGGTAAACCACCAGAAGTTAGGAGAGAGGCCTGGGACAGATCCTTCAAAGGGGAAACGGTCCTGCCTACACCTTGACCTCAGACTCCCAGCTTCTAGAACTGTGAGACAATAAATTCCTATTGTTTAAGCCACTCAGTCTGTGGTACTTGGTGATAGCAGCCCTAGCAAAGAAATACCTAAATGAAAGTAAGTAAAGGCTATTTATTTAGAGATTTCACATACATACACACATACATATATATAAACAGATATATATGTGTGTATGTATATATATATATACACACATGCACACATAGAACAATAATTTCAAATAACATATAACTCAAAGATGCTCATTTTCTGGAAACAGCTCTCAAATTAACAAATTTACATGTCATGAGATAATAAAATACTTTCTAATCGAAAAGAGGAAAAAGATGATCTCTAATGGGTTCTCAACATAAAACATTAAACATTATATAAAATACAGTTGATCCTTGAATAACATAGGGGTTGAAGCACTGATCCACTGCATGGTTGAAAATCTGCATATAATTTTTGACTCCCTGAAAACTTATTGATAGCATACTGTTGACTGGAAACCTTACCAATAACATTAAAAATCAATTAACAATTTTTTATGTTACATTTATTATATAGTATATTCTTACAATAAAGTAATCTAGAGAAAAGAAAATGCTATAACAAAATCATAAGAAAAAGAAAATATACTTACTATTCATGAAGTGGAGCGGGATCATCATAAGTCTCCATCCTTGCTGTCTTCACATTAAGTAGGAACAGGAAAAGGAGGGATTGGTCTTGCTGTCTCAGGGGTGGCAGAGAGAGACCAAATTTTTCAATAAGTGGGCCCACACACTTCAAACTCTCGTCCCAGGCTCTACTGTATTCACTCTTGAAATGCTAAGCTCAAAATGATGGTGACAGTCCAACGTCAGAACTCTCAGTATATTAGCAGATGCTCAGTGTTTGTCTGTTGAATTAATGGGGTTAAATGATAATAGCTTAGGTACTTACTGTGTGCCAGACATTGTACTGAATGGTTTACATTCATCATCTCATTTAACTCTCAAAATATTCTTATGAGATAGTTACTCCTACTTTCCCAATTTTATGAGAGAGTCTTTGAGAATCTAAGGAAGGTCTCAAGATCAAACCAGCTAATATATTAATGGCTCAGTCTCAGATTCACACCCATTAGCTTTATGTCCTTAAGAATCCCTTAGTATTGTCTAAGTATATTGCTTTTATTTGAAAATTTATGAAATCCACATATCCTTGAGAAATACTCCATTTTCTACATGACAGCCTGAGCTTCAGCCCAGTTGTTTACTTGGTGCTGATGCTCCCATGGCTGAAGCACATTGCAGCCTCTCCCTACAGCCCTTCAGCCTAAATCCGCAGTCATTGTGCCTCAGGGTATAACGTAAAGCACGATGTCTGTGGAGTTAGGAGAAGGTGGCTTTAATGCTAGTTCCACATCCTATAGATATGTTATTTAATGCTATTGAAATATGATTTATTTATCTATAATATAAAAAGCCCTTGCATCAAATAGTTTTCGAGTATTAAATGAAAAAATGTATCTGAAACATTTATCCCAGCATGTAGCAGGAATGCTTTAAATATCATAAAGCCTGTAACATTTAATGTAAAATGGCATTTGAAGAGATCTTTCTAAGCAGTGGACTCTAAGTGATGACTCTTAATAAGCTGGCAGGTAGCTATCCAATGTCCATGTCACCAGGCATGAGGGTGAGCCCTTCCATGGGATTCTAGGACAGCTAACGCCTAGGTGAAGTCCCAATAATGAGAAAGGTTGGGTGGCTGCTGGAAATGGCAATAATAAGATATTCTAATTACAATAATAAAGTAGTTAAAATAATGATTGCAAATAATATGTGTTGAAGGTTGCCATGTTTCTTATATCATGCTAAAGCAATTTAACCTGCTTTTCTAACTTAATTTAATTCTTACAGCAAACTTCTTTGAGCTAACCTAATTTTACTGGTGAGAACACTGCAACTGTGAGATGCCAGGTGAGTCACCCAAGATCACAAAGCTGGCAGTGGCTGACTTATGGCTCTAATCCAGAATTTCTGCCCTGGTAGACTTGACTACTATTCTATATTGAATGTCTTAGTGGGTTCTCAGAGTTCAAACCAGGAAGCTAAACTATTTCCTAAAATCTGAGGAGCAACCTCAGGACCAACACCGTATAAAATCAAGGATAAGGACTGAGGAAATGTGGAATAGAGCCAGGCTCAGAGCAAAGATCATGCTTTTGAATAAGTATAAAAAGGCTGTCATGCACAAATCTCCCTTTTATTTGCCCAGAGCACTGTGTGGGGAGGAGTGGGTTATGTCGAGTTCAGGGTCAGCATGGCCCAGATACATAGCAACGGGCATCGCTGGGCATCTGCTGGAGGCATCAGTCTGCAAGGGGTGCTAAAGTATCAATGGAGTAAATAGGAAATACGGTGGTGTGAGCATATGTTTCTGCACACAACTCAAATAAATGGTAAAGTATAAATTGCTTTGTCTCACACTGAGTAGACATAATAAATCCTTTATTTTGAATATTAGCATGAAACAGGAAGAAAATATTTGTCACTTGTTATAACCCACTGCCTTCAGAGGAGAGAGAATCCTAGCAACCAAATCATCTTTCCTTTGGTGAGCACGAACCAAAGCAAAAATCTTTATCTTCAAGAACAAAAGCATTTGCACTTCTGAAAACAGTTTTAAGGAATAGATGTGGAACGCAAAACAAAGAATCTGGGGCAGAGTGAACTATCTCTAGCAGAGACACTGAGATGCCTGTGGGAAGGAGGACTGAGAAGGAGATGTCAGCAAAGAGGTGGAGAGACAGGGAGCCTGCGCACAGGGAGGGAAGCGAGGAAATGGCGACTCCACACTGTGGTGCTGACAGGAGGCCTGACTGAGGGGAGGCTGCTACCTACAGCGCAGTGCTGCGTCGTGAGAACTCTCCTTTTCCACTCACCTGCAGACGTCAGTGTGTCTGTGCTATTCCCCAGAACTTCTGGATGAGTGCAGTTTTGTTCTGGGGCATCCTGAAAAAGTGGAAGAGAAGATACCTGTACAGGATTAATGAATTCAGTTTGGATTACTTATTTCATCCAGTTTCTCTGTTTCCTATTTCATAGAACATCAGGTTGAGGGGAGGAGAAATTATGACCCTGACAAGGGCATCCGAGGGTCTGTTTGGCCTCAGGCCGATACAACCTGTTCACTTCCCACCAGCCCATCCAAAGGACTGTCTGTCAGAGCTTTCCAGGTGCTAATTAAGAGACACCCATACGTTGTGTTCAACTAACCCGGGATAGCAGGGGTCTAATTAAAAGAGCACCCCCGTGGCAGTGCATGTGGCATTTCACCTCATAGAAATGAAGCTCTTCCAGCTTACACAGGCTTTGGTTGGCTTTGGGTTTTCCGGTATGAAAATTAATTACACTGGGAATTCCGCAGCAGATTTGGGAGGTGGAGTCCAGAGGGAGATACTGCGGGATGAGCGGGACCACGAAGCCACCCGCAGAGAGGCCGGGCGTGGCCTTCCCACAGGAACCCGTAGAAAGCAAGCCTCTCTGGGAACAGGCTATTCTGTGCTTTAAATGTTATTTTTCTCAGCATGAGGAAGGCCAGTAACTCTTTCTGAAACAGAAAACACGATCTGGAAGAAGGTATGAAGCTATTTTTAAAACCAAAAAAGGATCATAAAGGAACTCAGATTGGAAATTTATGTGGGAGCAAGTTGCAGTATTTATGCCCCAAAATACCGCCATCCAGAAACTACATGTTATACAATGGTCATAAAAGACAAAAACAGAGGGCTACCATTTTGGTGTGAATAAAGGAGCTATTGTTCCTGCTGGTAATAATCATAGCTACTGTACTAGGATGTGGAGTGAAAGTGTTTTAGTTGCCCTGTAATTGACAATCAAGGCGTGTATTGAAAAGACAGCCATCAACAAATGGGTCAGATGTAGCACCCCAGGGCTTACAGGGATGGATGGAAACATTTCTGGAACAATCTCTTTACCGCTGGATAACTTGTCAACCCAGGGTATGTAATGGATGGCTGAGGAAGGGCACAGGGAATACAAAGAAGTTCATTTTTTTAAACATCTTCTGTGTTTTAGGGAATAAAATACTCATGGTACAAAATAAGTTACTTTCTCCTTGCCCTATGATCCCCTCCCCCACCATCACACACCTAAAGCCAAGCAACCGTGAGCTCTGAGCAAATCCTCCACAAAGGTGGGGTGTGCCTGCCAGAAAGAGAGACTGGCGTTTGACTCACCGCATGGTGTTCACAGCAGTGCACATCTGCTGGGCTATCCTGATGCTTCCCCAAGATCACTGCAAGGGGAGAGAGTTTTGGGAGCTTGAAGCCTGAGCCCTGGGGAATGTAAACGAAGAATTCTGTCTGCTTCTTGCCACATGGTATTTGCACATGGAAGATTAGCAAGAGCAGCCCTAACCAGTAGAAAAAATGCATTTCCATATTCCAGATCCCTAAGGCCCCCAGAGGGCATAGAAGGAAAAGGACCTCAGTAACTCCAGTGTCTCCATCTAAAGAGATGTTGGAGGTGTGGATTTTTGATGGGAGGAGCCCATGGAGGAGCACACATGGCCCTCTAAAAGCGGGTCTACAGTGAGAAGCATGCTGAGGAAATCTGGACACCCTCCTGTAACAACCGCACATGCCATCCCCAAGCTGGGGTGTCTGCAGATGCCCTGCACACGGCAGGAAGGCAGGGAAGGCCAGGAGCAGTGATGGACCACAGAATGGACCCCAAGTTGCATATGACCGTAGCTGGCTCATTATATCTCTTCTCCAGCCCCAAACCCAAAGGAGCCAGACCCAGGAGAGGGAAGGCGAGGAGAAGCACAAGAACAAGTCGTGCCAAAGTCTCTTCACCCTCTGTTGTAGTCAATAACGAAGGGGACGAAAACTTTAAATTTGAGATGGGCTTGGATTTGTAAGTTATGGAATATTGCAATGTCTTTGTCAGATGGAAAAATGAACTTCTACTCAGCAAGTTGAAAAAAGTGAATGGAAAAGAAAAAAAAATCATCATCTTTGCCAGTATTAGACTATTTTTTCTGAAAACTCCATGTGTTTTACATATCCCCCAAACCTGAAGAAGTGGTCTTATTAAATCCATTTTACAGATAAGGATATTCAAGACGAGAGCATCTTGCCCAAAGTGACAGAGAGGACCCAATAATCTAAATTTCGATCAGGCTGACACACGCAAATGCTGTGCTCTTTTCTATACACGTCACCATTTTCTCTGATTTTCTGGACCCAAATTGTATCAATTTATTTAAGATAAAGTAATGTTTTATGTATTGAAGTAATACATACACCTATCTAGTCACCAGCAAAAAGCTTTAGTCTTGATTCGATATATTTGAAATGTATCTCCTGCCATGCTCCTCACTCCCCTCAGCCACCGGCTCAAATGCTAACGATGGAAATCATCTCAACCCCCTTGCTAAGCGCCCTGATTGTTATCACGTTTATCCATTAGGTAAGGATCTGTGAGGGCGAATGCGTCAACTAGGCTAGGCTACGGTGCCTAGTTGTTTGGTCAAACACTGGTCTAGATGTTGCTATAAAGGTATTTATGGATTTGATTAATATTGATAATCGGTAGGGTTTAAATAAAGCAGATTACCCTACAAAATCTGCTTCAGGGTGGCTTTATCCAGTCAGTTGAAGGCCTTAAGCTCAAAGAATGAGGTTTCTTGAAAAAGAAGCAGTTCTGCTTCAAGGTTGTAACATAGAAATCTGACTTGAGATTTCAGCTTGCTGATCTGCGCTACAAATTTCAGACTCAAAACCAGGGGTCCTCAAACTTTTTAAACAGGGCCAGTTCACTGTCCCTCAGACCGTTGGAGGGCCGTTGGAGAGTGCGGTGCACATTCCACACGTACGCACTGTGGGATGAGTCGGCTGCTAAGCAGGACAGGCAGCGGCCGCTAAAACACCAGGCGGGCGGGATAAATGTCCTTGGCAGGCCGCATGTGGCTCACGGGCCATAGTTTGAGGATGCCTGCTCAAAACTATGACATTGACATCAACTCTTAACCTTAATTTTCAGGTTACCCACTTGACTATGGATTTCAAACTGCCAGAATTGCCGGATTCCATCCTTGTGAGCCAGGTCTTTAAAATCTCTCTCCCTCTCCCTCTCCCTCTCCCTCTCCTCCATCTATCTATTATCTATCTGTCTGTCTATCTAGCTATCTATCCATCCTATTTCTCTGGATAACCATACAATTCTCATTTTGGAGATGAAGTACAGGGAATTTAAGTTACTTTCCCAAAGCCAAATACCTGGTCAATGATGTGTTCAATAGTTGATGCTGGATTTTCTTTATGATATTTCTTCTATAGGATGCCAACTAATGCCTCAAATCATATCTACTTGATTTTCTTACTTACTCATATCTTTCCCCTAATACTCTATTAAGCATTCTTTCTCAGAAGCTAAACAATATTCTACTGTGTATCAAAGCAAAGAAACTCATGGCACGTGCCCTTCTTTTCTTTACCCTTCTGAAGAGCCAAGTTGTGTATCTGGGTAAAGGCTCTGTGGATGAGATGGAAAATCCACGGATGGTGTCTCCAAAGAAGCCAGTTTAACTTCGTGGGCTTTCAAAACCCCATGCCCCGGGAGCATGAGGAACAGTTATGGTTAGCAATGCCTATTTCCATTAGAGTCCTAGAACCTTTAACTGCTTTATCTATTTTCTTACTATAAACTTATTTCCTTATTTCTTATCTATTGGGACCCTAGATCAGCCTATTCTTCATTTTTTAGTTCCCAAATATTCTCTCTATTCAATGATTTAAATTCTGGGCTTTCACCATGGATTGTGTCACCTGAGGCAACTCAGAGCTCAGCCATGGGTGGCAGCCAGTGTCCTATTAGGAAATGCACACCACACTTAGATCTCCTTGTGTAGTTCCCCTCTGTGTGCCAGGGGCTGTCCCAATAACTGTGTATGGGGAATGTCAGTGTCATTACCTGCATTTTACAAATGAAGACTGTGAGATCTCAAAGAGTTTAATATCTTTGCCTCTCAATACAAACAGACAGAACCTGAACTGGGACCCAGGTCCCCTGGGTCTTCACCTGGTAATTTCCTTCCACTGATTGACTTCACCTGTTTGTCTTCATGGGACGTGTTACTCAATTTGAGTTTTTATTTACAACCTCTGAAAAAGAGAAGGAAACCAACTTCAGATTTGGTATAATCAGTAAGACAAGTTCACATACTATCATTGAATGATTTTCTATTTTTTTATTTGGTGTTTTTAAAAATTATAGACACCAAAAAGCATTGTAGTGCATACCCATAGTGTAGCTAAAACCATTACTAACCATCACTTATTTCAGAAAACATCATTGAGCAACTATGCCATTGTCAAAATATAGTCTCTCCCCAGAGAATACTGCCATCTTTCACTGTTCAAGAGGGTAGTGAGGAGGGACAAAGAAAAATACACTGGAACATTAAGAATTTCTTTTCAGAATATTTCAAAGAGAAAAATGTACCATAAAAACCAAAGCTCACTTACTGAATGGAAAATCTAAAATTGTTTTTCTCATAGTGTTACTTTTTTTTTTTTTTTTTTTTGAGACAAGGTCTTACTGTGTTGCTCAGGCTGGTCTTGAACTGCTGGGCTCAAGTAATCTTCCACCTCGGCCTCCCAAAGTTCTGAGATTATAGATGTGAACCACTGCACACAGAAAATATTATTATTTTTTAAATGAGCAAAGAGTGTGGGGCAGGCATTATTCTAGAAATGGTATATGCATAAACTAAACTGATTTAACAGAAAACTCCTTGTGCATTTTACACAAGAGGAAACAGAACCCACAGAGGTTAGATAAAGTGTCACAGTGACTCATTTGTAAAGCTGTGGTTTTATTCAGGGCTGAAAGTCTCCAAAACCTTCCCAAACCACCTATACCACCTATACCACCTGCCTGTGAATGATAGATTTTCTTATGAATTGGAATCACTTTTATAATTTTGCGTGTATCTCCCATCCTTCCACTTCCTTTATTGCTCCATGAAAATGAGAATATCAGAAAAGAGGAATGTTTATATTTTATTCCTAGAGTGTTTGCCCGAGGTATGTTATTCCAGGCTTTATAGAAAAAGTAGTTCATGCCATGTGCCATCATTCATACAGGGAACGACAAGAGCAGTCAATGATGGTGAGGATGCTAATGCTGACATGATGATAACGTGGCCGGTGAGAATGACTGGCACAACTGTGCCCTTTACGTGGGTAAAAACTGTTGAAGGAATAAAATATGACAATTGAGGAACAGTATTAATTCTTTTGCTTCTCATTTATTACAGGCCACACAGTTTTCATCAACTGTTGTGCAAGTAGAAGAATTGCCAGGAGCTCAACTCCTTATGCTGTAAAAACAAAAGTTGTTTTTTGTTGTTGTTGTTTTGTTTTTTACCCTTTTACAAGGTAAAAACCTGGAGAGTATGTAAAATTTACAAGGAAAAGGAAAGGGATTTGTGAATAGATTCTAAAAGAAGTGTAAGGATTTGAAATTTGAGATGTAGTTGAATATAAACTGATGATGAAGTATAGGAAGTGTAACTGCAGAGTATGTAATAAAAAGTAACTATTAATAAAAAATTTATATATAGGGAAGAAAGGTCAATAGCAACATATCTTCTGTGTTCTTAACAGAGCAGGAAAAAAAAAGAGCTTATATCAAATATACTAGCCTTACTTTCCTAAAAAATGATACATTTTCTCTATAAACTTGCTTTGTTTTTGGCATACCAGAAGAGAAAATGCAAATACTTTAAATAATACCTGTTACAATTGATAATCTAATGAAGACTCATACATGAAATTGCATATTATATACACATACACATAATGTTGTGTTGTAATAAACGTAAAACCCTGAGAAGACACGACCTGTCTTTTTTTCTCCAACATCTAAAAAGAGTTCCGATTACATGGTACAACTCAATAAACATACACTGATTGAAAGGCTGGAAAGAATGCATATTTTATACTTATGGATCACATTTCTTCTATATATATCAAAAACTTTCAAAATAATCTTTCTTTCAATAGTAATATTGTTTCTACAGATTTATCCCAAGAAAATAATCAGAAGTACACACTAAGATTTATGTGTAATGATAGTCATCTTAGAATTATTTATAATAGAAAAAAAGAGAAAATAATATAAATGTCCAAAAATAAAGAAATGGCTAAGTAAATTATAGTATATCTCTAGTATGAAAAATTATGCAATAATCAAGCCATGCTTTTGAGAATTATTTTATGACCTAAAAATATTTTTAAAACTGAAAGAAAACAGTATTTTTATATATAGAATAATAGGCTTATATACAGAATAATCCCAATTTTGCAAATACATGTATTTAAATAAAGATATCCTGTATGTGTCATAATTCACTGGCCTTTGAGGTCATGGTTTTGTTTATGCCAAATTACAATTGACAAAGTACTCAACTACTGTTGCTGAAAGAATTCTTGTATTTTACCATATCCATCTCCCCAGTCATCCCTGGGCTGTCTAACCAATGGCTCCATGTCTTAAAAATCCATCCCAGCTTTCATTTGTCTACATAATTGTTTTCTGAGGCACCAGTCTTACAAGGCTCAAGTGTTTTCCTTATTTTCTTTTGTCGTGCTGCAAGCTAAACATGGAATCAGCCCTGTCCCTTGGATAGCCCAGTAGTCAGCTGCCTATGATATTTAATGAGAAGATACAACAGGAATATTGGAATGGAAGTACAACAATGAAAATGACTCAAAAACTCTACCTTTGATTGGGTTCCTTGGGAACAGATTCTAAGACTGAGAATTGGGTGAAGAAAATGAATGGAGAAGAGTTCTTCTGAGATAAACAGGTGAGGAAGACAATACAGGGCAGAGGGAGAAACTGAACAATTAACACACCTGCAAATGCAAGCTCCACTGATCCTACAGGGAGCTCTAGAGGTGGGATGACTGTGCAGAGTTGTTCCAATTTGCAGTAAAGGCTGGGCCCTTTGATTCCCTGTACCAGCTGGTCATTGGCTATAAGCGGTAGCCTGGGAGAAGGTACATTCTTGCATAGGGTAGTTCCCTGTGGCAGAGGTAACATCCAGTGAGAAGCTGCAAGCCTACAGCAGAACCATTCTCAGTAGCTGCGAATATGTTGGAAACAAAGAGGGGACTGGGGTAGATCCCCACTGTCTTAGCTTTAGCTGCCATAACAAAATATCACAGACTGGGTGGCTTGAACAAGAGAAATGTATTTCCTCACAGTTCTGGATGCAAGAAGTTGAAGAACAAGTGTCAGGACAATCATCTTCTGGTAAGGTCTCTCTTTGTGATTTGCGGGTGACCAACTTCTTGTGCTCTCACATGGCCTTTCCTCAGCCATGGAGAGAAGGGTTGAGCTCTCCGCTGTCTCCTCTTACAAGAACATTTATCCTATTGAATCAGGGCTCCACCCTTATGACCTCATGTAACCTAAATTACTTCCTTAGAGGCCTCATCTCAAAATACTGCCACACTGGGGGTTAAGGTTTCCACGTATGAATTGTGGGATACAAATGTTCAGACCACAGCACCAATATTACCTAAAAACTGGCAGGCTCAGCGTCCTTCCTGGGGTTCCTTCTCTGCTGCCCTGTCTGCTTTTCTCCCACCAGATGACAGTTCTTTCTTTCGATTCCCAAGCTGAGAGGTAACTTCAAGTCTCTCCAACTCATAATCTGGGCAAAACTGAATCCTGGCTTTTGAGAAGAGAGTGTGATTATTTCTAAATCAAATCCTGGGGATTCAGTTTCTATCAGGAAACTACTTCAACTACAGGATCTTTTAAAATAATAATGTTCATTAGAAATTGCCACAATAATGCTGTGTAAAAAACCACTCCAAATGCAATGGCTTAAAGCAGCAGTCATGTCTCTTTGGTTTGGCTGATCTAGACTGATCCAGGCTCTCAGACAATTAGGTGCAGAAAATTTGTTGGGGCACACACTTGGGAGATAAACCTGAAGCAAAATTAAGGAAGGCAAAAATGGGCCCAGGAGAAGCTGATCTAGGCTGGGTCTGCTTGGCTTGACTCCAAGCTTCAGAATACACTCGGGTTGTTCCAGGCGTGTCTCATCCTCTTTGGAACAGCAGGCTCCTTGAGTCTTGTTCTCCTCATGGAGGTGGCAGATGTGTGATGAAGTGCGGTTCAGTCTGACAGTCTGGTTCAGTCCCTGCAGTAGGTTCCCAGGGCAACATTTTCTTCTAATTCGTGTTCACCTGTCTCTTAAATTCAGTTTACTCTTCATTTTTCCCCAATGCTTAGAGGTTTATCATACCTTCTCACGAGGCTGCTGATGCATCTAAAACCACAGTTGTGACAATTTATCCCATACACATAGTTTTTTCAGTGGTAGAGAACCATTCAGAATTTCTGGTTCATCAATCATATTACTGAAAGGTAATATGATTAACTTTTTCTAACTTTTTTACTTTACAGATTTCTATTAGAGACATCATGGGACAAACAAGGCATACTGACTAGGTCTTCAACCACGTTTCTTAGAGTATCAGAGACAGTCCCAGCAGCAAGTACGTGATTGCCCTATGAACCTGCATGTGAGGCAACATACAGCCCAGCAGAATGCAATGCCAAGTTCCAGGAGATGGCACTGGGACAAGGACTGGGACATCAGCTGTCTGGTGTGCCAGATCTCTGGCCTCAGTTTGACTCTTTACCCAACCATGCGGTCTTCATCTACAATTTTAGCTTAGATTATTATGGTCATACATGTTTGAAAGACTTATTGAAGTATAATTGACATACATAAACTACATATATTTAAAGTATACCAAATGATGTTTTAACATATACACTCCTTGAAACCATTTTCTTTAAAAAGAATATACACAATAAATTTAATAAATTATTTACCACTTGAATTTTTCTTGTAGATTTTTTTCTTCTTTTCTTAATTGACACATAATAATTGTATGTATTTATGGGATACATAGTGATATTTTGATACATATAATGTATAATGATCAAATCAAGGTAATTAGCATATCTATCACCTCAAATATTTATCATGTCTTTGTGTTGGGAACATTCAAAATCTTCTCCTCTAGCTATTTTAAAATATGTAATAAATTATTGTTAACTATAGTCACCCTATAGTGCTAAAGAATACTAGAACTTATTCCTATTATTTATATATAATTTTGTATCCTTTAAGTTACCTCTTCCTATCCTCTCCGACCCCCTGCTCCTCCCAACCTCTGGTAACCACTACTCTTCTCTCTACTTGTATTATATGAGTTCAACTTTTTTAGCTTCTGCATATGAGTGAGAATATGTGGTATCTATCTTTCTGTTTCTGGCTTATTTCACCTGATATTAATATAATGTCCTCCAGGTTCATCTATATTGCTGCAAATGTCAGGATTTCATTCATTCTTATGGCTGAATAGCATTCCATTGTGTATGTATACCATATTTTTTTATCCATTCATCTGTTGATTGATACTTAGGTTGATTCTATATCTTTGCTATTGCAAATATCTGCACATGGGGGTGCAGGTATCTTTTTGATATACTGATTTCCCTTCCTTTGGATATATGCCCAGTACTGGGATTGCTGGATCATATAGTAGTTCTTTTTGTAGTTTCTTGAGGAATCCCCACACTGTTCTCCATAATGGCTGTACCAATTTACACTTCCACCAACAGTGTGTGAGAGTTCTCTTTCCTCCATATCCATGACAGCATCTGTTATTTTTTACCTTTTTGATAATAGCCATTTTAACTGGGGTGAGATAATATCTCATTTGTGGTTTTGACTATCCAACTATATGCTGCGTACAAGAAACTCACTTCACATGTAAAGACACACATAGACTGATATTGAACGGATGGAAAAAGGTATTCTATGCAAATGGAATCCAAAAGTGAGCAGGGATAGCTATACTTACATCAGATAAAACAGACTTTAAGTCAAAAACTGTAAAAACAGTCAAAAAGAACATTCTATAATGATAAAGGGCTCAATTCTGTAACAGGAAATAACAGCATAAATACATATG